TATGTCTGGGAGATCCATTCCGATTCCCAACCAAATCCTTGTTGAATTCTCAGTGACCATCTGATTCCTGGGAAGATGCAGGTCTTTGTCAAAGCCTGGGATGGAGCATGGGAGAGAGGTGGGGGGAGAAATGCAGGGGCAGGCGTAGGCTTAGATGGAGCCTTCTCTGTCCTGACAAACCCTGGAGGAACAGAAAAACGCTGACCCCGTGTATGTGTGTATTTGGGAACTGGGAGGGGTAGGGACCTGGAGTGCCCTCTGCCTAGAATGAGTAAAGTCCAGAACAGGATCAGGATTGTTTGGACCTGGACCAAGATAGGCTCTGGGAGCTGAAAGGGAGGCTGTGAGATCAGCACTGAGCTAGAGGCAGACATGGACCAGGAGGCCCCTGCAGGCTGAGCCTTATTTCTGTGGCTAAAACATTTGCATTGGCAGAGCAAAGTGCCCCTGTTTCTGTTGACTTCATTGGGTCAGTTTGGAGGAGTTGCCCACAGGCGTTGGAGGACAAGGGGACATAAAAGGCAGTGTTGGGAGCTGTGGAAACATCTGGGGAGGGCACCTAAATATATCTTGTGGTGACGAGGTGCCGTGATGGGCCAGGACAAGCTCGGGCAGGGGCAGAGGCAAGCCACTGTCCCCAGTGTCCCCTAGGGAGTACTCAGGGAGTACTGCTGCCCCAGAGGCCCTGAGAGCTTCTCTGGAAGGTCTGGAAGACAGAACCCTCCTGGGCAGAAGGAGGCCTGGCCCAGCCCTGACTTGCTGAATGATAAGGCCAGCTCTCTTCTCAGCTGTCAGGGGGGTGGGACCAAGTGATGTTGTCGTCACTTCTGGCCCTGATTTCCTTTAATCCCCAATTCTGGCTATAATTGTTTATAATTCCACAGTCCTAGCCCTAAGACTCTATAATTACCCTAACATTCTAGAAGTGTACAATTCAAACTCCAACTTTCTACACTCCAGAACTGTAACATTCTCCAATTCTGGCTCCAATGTTGGAGGACTCTGGCCCTGGCTTTGGCAGTCTGACTCTTGCAAACTCAGAAACTCCCAGGGAAGAGGTCACTTCAGCAGAATCATGTGAGAAGCCCCAGAAAAGGTCTCCTCCCTGCCTAAGCCAGCCTGGAGTGGAGGCAGGTGCCTGGTAAAATGGCCACATGCTCTCTGGGGTGGATGACAGTGAACCCATAGGCCCCTCCTCATCGGAGCAGCACAGGTGCTAGGAGTACTTCACAGCTGTCAGGGAAGAGTGGCCCTAGGGGAGAGAAAGTTTCAGATTTTGCATTCTAGGCACCCCTCGGATGAGGGAATTGTGGAGTCACTGGGCACCTTGAAAGGCCATCAAGAGGAAGGAGAGAGAGAACAAGAAATGGGGCTGAAGAGACCTCAAAGGCAAACCTCGTTCTCTCTGAGAGACCTCAGGTTGTAGAAAGACTCCTGCGGAGCCAGCACCATCATGGATGCACAGCCATGTCTGAACTCAGCATAGGCCGGGGGATGGAGAGCTCCAAAATTCACAGTGATTAGCCTGAAACCTTGCCTTGGGTTGGTGACAAGCAGGACCGGTGGCCAACTGGGCAAGTTGGGGACCATCCTCCCATAGAAACCTTTGCCTGCTTTCTCTGAGTATTCTGGCCAGGACTTGTGTGGGAGGGCTGAAGAGGGTGAGCCAGACAAAACATCTGTGTTGCTGGGGAAACCTGTTAGCTTCTCTGGGAGGGTAAAGGAAGGGCTTGGGGATCCAAGGACTCAGCTCTTCCTCTCCCATCTCTTTCCTGGTTCTGAAAGTTCTTCACATGCAACTTGCTGCTGAGCTAAGCTACAGCCCTATGTATGCTGGCCGGAAGGGAGTGCCCGTGTGCCTGCTGTGGGTAGTGTGTTCCCAAGTGTGGCAGATGCGAGGGCACATGTGCCTAAGCATGTGTGAAGCTGTGTGAGTTATGCGGAGCTGTGTCCGGGTCGCGTGTGCTCTGCATGCGCCAGTGCAGAACTGCGCCCACGGGCACGTGCTCCTTATAGCGCTGCCAGGTCTCTGCGGCCTCTCTGTGCTTTCTTATGATGGGTGGCAAACAGCAGACCCTAGACTCTGGACAGAATGAGGGGCTCAGGTTGCAGAGAGGGAAAACCTCTGCAGCTCAGCATGAGGGCCAAGTCTCTGGCCAGATGTAGTAGCTCACGTTTGTAATCCTAAAACTTTGGGAGGCTGAGGCAAGAGGATTGATTGAGACCAGGAGTTTGACAACAGGCTGTGCAAACAATACAAAAATTAGCCAGGCATGCTAGCTCACACTTATAGTCCCAACTGTAAGTGAGCTGAGGAGGGAGGATCATTTGAGCCCAGGAGGTCAAGGCTGCAGTGAGCTATGTGTTTGCACCACTGCACTCCAGTCTGAGCGATGGAGCGAGATCCCTTCTAGAAAAAAAAAAAGGTGTCCAGTCTCCTCCTGTCCAAGGAGACCACCAAGCATGCTTCCTGCAAACCTCTTTAGGATCTGATCTGAATTCCAGAGGGACCATGTCTCCTGTAGACCCGGGGCCAGGCAGCCTCCTGTTTCAGTCAAGAGGGCCGAGGGTAGTGTTTTTCCTCCCTCCGTGGGAGCAGCTAGGGGGCAATGGGTGGTGTCCAGGGGTGTGCACGAGACCATTCCTGCCTGCCAGGGTCTCATCACAGCCTGCAGGCCTTCTCAGCCCTTGACTCGTGTGGATTGGAACAGCTCTCCATTCCACAGCTGGGAAAACCAAGGTTCAGGAAGGGATGAGACCCACCCAAGGGAGTAGCCAGTACTGAGCTTCGAGTCCAGCTCAGGGCTAGGAATGAGGACCCTAGGTCTGAGCTAGCAGTGACTGCCTGGAGGCAGGAACTCCAGGGCTGGGGCGCCAATGTCAGCCTGACCAGCTAGTGGTGAGCACCACCCAGCCAGGGCATGTGGGGTGTAAACTGTAAAGCACTTGATTTATTGTACAGGACCCAGGGGGCTTCCTGCTGGTGACGGAGTGCAGGAGGGTGGCTGTGGAGGGGTCAGTGCCCACAGGCAATGTAGGGTCTTCGGGGCTTCAACCTTGGGCACTCCTCCCCTCCTGGTGAGGAGCCTACATACAGCCTGGGCTGAGCTGGGAGAGCCTTTGCCTGAAAGTTATCCCCTAAGGCTTCCTCCTCCTCTTATGTAACTGCTTTTATTCCCGGGGAAAATCAAGAGCCTGGGAACCCCACAAATCTCCCGTGGCATCTGGAACAGTTTGGGATTACGGCAAGGATTTCGGAAACTGAGAAAACAAGGCCTGTGGACTAGGGGTTTGCGGGGCTCCCCAGGAGCGGCATGTGTGGAGCGCCTGCGGAGGCACAGGCCTGGGCAAACATGTATGTGAACAGATGTACACACCCTGGAGCCACTCACAGAAACACACACGCACGCACTTGGGCACAATCCCAAACACCTGTGCCTGGTGAATGCAGGTGCGTTTTCCCGCGCAGGCACACGCGTGGCTGGCAAGCCTCCAGGCAGACACTGTGCACCCAGCATTCACGTTCTCCCCCAGCCTGGGGGCTTGATGGGGGATGGTGGCTCTCAAAGCTACCTCAGGGCTACGCCTCTGCCTCCAGGAACAAGCTTTCCCAGCCTTGTCCCTTTCCCGTCTCTTCCCCCACACCTTCTCACCACAAGGACAGAGGAGGGGCCCTTCCTGTCAGCTGGCTGGGAGCAGAGGTGGCTTTGTCTTTTCGGAAGAACTAGTTCCGTGGAATTTGTGCTTCTTTCCCATCAAGGCTCAAGGGCCTGCTTTGGGGCTACCTCAGGGCCCCACAGGGTGAGGGGCTGGTTTTCAGAGTTTTCTGCCTGCCTGTCATCTGGATAGTGTCTAAAAATTTGCAAAACTGCCTTCCTGTCAGTGTCTTGCTCATTCTTCCTGACACTCCTGAGATGTAAGTGCCTTCACTTCCTCTGTTTGGCAGATGAGGGAACTGAGGCCCAGAGAGGGATGGGACTGTCTGAGGTCACACAGCAAGTTGAGGCAGGGTTGACCAAAACTCTCATGAGCTGGGGCTGGGAGGAAAGTGCTTTCAGCTTCCTGGGGCTTAGGGTATGAGGATTTGGCTCCCAGAGCCTAGAGGGTGGGGCAGGCTGGCACTACCAGGTGGGCCTGCCACAGGAACACCTCACACTCCTTTACCAAGATCTGATGGGGCACAGCCAGCCCCTCAAAGGCCAGCACTGTGCTGTGAGGCTCACTCCTGTACCACCTTCGTGGACATCCTAGGGGAGAGGGCAGGAGGGGGAGCAGGAATACCTCTGCCATGCTGTGTGACCCAGGCAAGCCCCGACTCTCTCTGGGTCTGGTGCCTTCCCATCTACTGGGATATTGGGATTGGGGATTAGTTGAGGGATGTGCTCCCTCTCCAGACCACAGAGGAAGCAAAAACTTCCCCAGGGCCAGGAGTGGGGCGCAAGCTCAGGATACTCCCTGCCAAAGCCCTGGTGGCCCTGAGCTGCAGCCTGTACCCAGGGAGTCCGGGCCCTGGCCATGGCCTGCTGCTGAGATCCACCATGGCAGGGCCCAGCACAGAGTGGGGGCTCAGGGCCTGGGGGCTGGGAGAGGGGATCTGGCAAATCCAGATGGGGCCTGTCCACCTGTCTGAGGCTGCGGCCCCCTGACTCTCTGCCCCTCATCCTCCTTTATGTTTCTCTACAGCTGCTCTTACCACTACCCGGCCTGCTATATATTTACTCATTAACCGAAAGAAACTAATCTCCCCTGCTAGAATACAGGTGTCTCAAGGGCGGGACTTTGTTTTTTGACCTCAAGTGCCTTGAACATTACTTGAATAGAATAGGTGTCCAATAAGCTCTTGTTACAAAGAAGAGGAGGAGGAGGAAGAGGGAGAATGAATCATCTTACAGTTGGAGAGGGCTCACCATAGGCCGGGCTAGAGCCGCCCTGGCTGCCTTCTCCTCATCAAGCCCAAGCTCAATGATGGATTGGCACTGGGGAGGGGAGGGTCGTCTGCAGTCAGCCTTTCTCCCGAGATCAGCTTCCATCTTCAGCGCCATCCTCATTCCTGGGTGGGGCTTGTCTGGACCCACAGGGTTGGAGCCATAGACAAGAGAGCCATTAATCTCGGGGTCTCAGCTTCTCTCAACGGACCTTCCAGGCACTGCTGAGAAAACCAGGGTAATGGTTTCCTGCAGCAGCAACAAGCAGGAGCAGGGCCATCTCCAGACTCCAGAGAATGGGGAGGACGAGGAAAGTGGCCACCTGATGCATGCCTTCCCTGGACCAGGCCCTGGTCCTGAAATGTTATCTCACTGCATCCTCCCGACAGTCCCTGGGGCTAAATTGGTGATGCTGCTTGTTTGGGTGAGCAAACAGAGGGTGAATGAAGTGACTTGCTGGCACCTGGGTAGAGGCTGAGGTCAGCGTTGGTATAAGGGACTTGAGCATCAGGGTTCTCGGGATTTGAGCCCTGGCCCTGCTGCCTGCCAGCTCTGTGCTGTGGCAACTTACTTCCTCTCCCAGATGTCTTGGTTTCCTCATCTGCTGCCTCTCCAGACTTCTGCCAGACATCGCACGCGACAGTTTCAGGCACAGGAACTTTCTGGCAGCAGGCACTGCTCCACAAGTGGGAATTTGTTCCAGCACTTCACAGACTGCAACTGAGGCGCTCGCTAACTCCTGGGTGAGTTTTCTGGGTCCATGCCTGGAAGGGCCTGCGCCCCTCAGCTCCCCTAGGAGCTTCCTGAGTACATACAGTCCAGTTGCTGCCACCAAGGCTCATCGCAGGCAAGAGTGGCAGTGGGGCAGGCACTGGGGTCCTCCTCCTTCCTCTGCCTGGCTATGCCTGGAGGCTGCAGACTACACAGCGTGGAGGGGTGAGACACGCAGGATGGGAGGGGAGGACATGGACACGTTGGTGCTGCGCCGTGCCTTGCTGGAGAAGTGGAATAGCTCAGGCAGGATTCGGAGCCACAGAGGTCTGGGTGTGAATCCAAATGGCTAGCAAGGACACTTTTCCTCTCTGGGCCTCAATTTCTTACTCTCTAAAATAGGGGCAACAGTGGTCTCCCCCTGCATATGTGAAAACTGCTAAGTGTAGTATGCTGGTGAGGGGCCCTCATGGAGAGGCTGGCCCTGCCCTCGGAGCTCCCCAGTAACTTTGGTTGAGGGAGTGAGTAGGAAGGATTAGTGACCAAATAACTGTCCACAGAGGAGGCCCTTGGAAACCTCTCACCTCTGCCATCCCAGCTAAATCTTAAGGCAGCTTGGAGCTGGCCCCACGAGAGTGGTGGGGAGAATGAGTCCCTGAGTCCAAGTGTGACTTGTTAAGGGTGAAAGGGCATATCTGGGGGAGCTGGGTTAAAACTTTTCTGGAGTTTCTATTGCCAAGTGGCTCCGCTGATATCAACATAGAGAAAACAGGCAGCACAGCCCATGCGTTCAGCCCCCCGCCTCTTGAAGATATTTGGAACTCACATCTCTTGCCAGCTCTAGAATGGGTCAGATTCAGGGAAACTCTCCACCCCTCAGTATCAATGAGATGAAAAATGAGAAGGCCCTTTGCAAACTCTAAGGTGTTGTGCCCAGAAGGGCATGTGTGCCAAGCCCGTGGGTATGTCCATGAGAGCGAGAATGTCCAGCTTCCAGTGTATGTGCGTATGGATGCCTGACTGGGTGGGGGGAACTCTACGCCACCCTCAACTCCCTGTGTGGCTGGGGCTCTTCTAAAATTCTTACAATCTTTTTTTGCATTTCCTCACTGTTTGTCAGTTTATCAGAAAGGAAGGGGGCCATGGTCCGGAAACCTGGCAATTGTCTCTGAGCCTGCCAACTCTTCTCTCCTGCCCTTGCCTTATCCTGTGGCTGTCTCTGGAGGCCTGATTGCCGGGAGCTCCCAGCATGGCCCGTTCTTCAGGGTCAGAAGCTTGCCTGGCTCCTCTGCGCGGCCCACCCGCCACCTGTTTTTCCATCTGTGGCTATGCACTGGCTGCTTTCACATCACTGTCCCACTGACTCTTTTTATTTTTAGATTTTTATGTTTTTAAAGATAGAGTCTTGCTGTGTCACCCAAGCTGGAGTGCAGTGGCACCATTATTGCGTACTGTAACCTTGAACTCCCGGGCTTAAGCAATCCTGCTGCCTCAACCTCCCAAGTATCTGGGACTACAGGCATGTGCCACATGCTCAGCTAATTTTTAAAATATTTTGTAGAGATAGGGTTTTGCTATGTTGCCCAGGCTGGTCTTAAACTGCTGGCCTCAAGTGCCACTGATTCTTTGTAACATCCCAATACTCTACAGAAATGCTATTTATTGTTCCCATTTTACAGGCAAGGAAATGAAGGCTTGTTGAAGGGAAATGGCTCTCCCAGAGTTATCCAGCCAACTAGCAGCAATGCTGGGGTTTCAATTCTTACCTAACTCCAAAAACTTTATTAACTGTTGTGGCTTACCTAGTGGGTATGTGTTGGCTGTTTGACTGAATGAATAAATAAATGAAATAGCAGATGAATCAATCATTCTGTCAAAATTGAGCTGAAAGAGAAAGTTAAGCAATAATAGCAATGTCTGTCATTGATTAAGCAACTACAATGTCAAATGTTTCATGCAAAAATGAAAGCATCAGGAGGCTGAGGCAGGAAAATCGCTTGAACCTGGGAGGCAGAGATTGCAGTGAGCCGACACTTGGTCTCAAGAAAGAAAGAGAGGGAGGGAAGGAAGGAAGGAAGGAAGGAAGGAAGGAAGGAAGGAAGGAAGGAAGGAAGGAAGGAAGGAAGGAGAGAGAAAGAAAGCAGCTAGGATTATTGTTATTCCTATTTTGCAGTAGAGAAAGCTGAGGCTCAGAGAAATTAAATGATCATGTCCGGTGTGGGAGCTGGAACTATAATTTGTCAGTGTGCAGACCCAGAGCTCTGAACCTAGGTTTCTGGTTCCTTAGCATGAGAATGAGTCAGCAGAGACTGGCAATAGGTGTCTATTACAGCAGAGGAACCAGGGCCAGTCGAGACTCTCAGGAAGCTGGGTGCAACAGCCCCCCCTGCCCACTCCTGCCTCAGGGCCATTTCCTCATTTTTCTCTGAAATGGGTTTCTGTTTCAGTCTGGAGTGGGCATCTGGCAGCCCAGGCTCTGACTCTCCCTCTCTGACTGCTGACTTGTGTAGTTAGGGCCAATGCCCTGGCATGGGGTGATATCTTGCTGCTTCCCCTTTCCCAAGGTTAGCCATGTCATTAATAGCTCCATGGGAGGGCAGGGCCTACACAAGACACAGTCATTGGTCTATGGAGATGACGTAGGCTGGGTCAGTGGCTTCTGTGCCCAGCCCTGTGTGGATGCCAGGAACCCAGGGGCTAGTGGGTCCAGCTCTCCCCTCAGGAACTCGTGGGCTGGGAACTGAGCCCCAGGAAGATGAACTCTGCAGTCGCTGAGACAGAGTCTGGCATCCTGACTCCCAAGGCAGTCAGTCCCGGCTGGTTTTCAAGGCCTGGGACAGAGTAGGGGCTGTCCTGTGGTACCAGAAGGCAGATCTCAACTCAGAGTGAGGGATAACCTTGTTTCTGTCATACCAGAGGGATGGGAACCAGCCTTTTAAATCATCCCACAGTTCCTGAGTGTCCTGTCCCTTCTATTGAGGGACAGGGACACAACAGGGACAGACTCTGCACAGGAGGAGAGCCCATTGTCTGAGGGAGGAGACATTCCCTCGGGCAGTGGCTAATCTGATGGTTGAGCCAAGAGACAGACTTGGAAGTGTTAGAACCTGTCGCACTTGACAACAGCTTCGTTCTTCATGCCCTCCCATGGTGCCTTCCTGAGGAGGACATGCCTCCATAGCATAGAGGGAAAACAGAGGCACAGAGAGGCCGGTGTTTGGGATAGAAATGCCTCTGTTGCAAAAAGTTGCTGGAGTAAAGCAGATAATAGATTAAAAACTAAACAGTCGGCCGGGCGCGGTGGCTCACGCCTGTAATCCCAGCACTTTGGGAGGCCAAGGCAGGTGGATCACAAGGTCAAGAGTTCGAGATCAATCTGGCCAACATGGTGAAATCCCATCTCTACTAAAAATACAAAAACTAGCCAGATGTGGTGGTGCTTACCTGTAATCCCAGCTACTTGGAAGGCTGAGGCAAGAGAATCACTTGAACCCGGGAGGCAAAGTTTGCAGTGAGCCAAGATCGCGCCACTGTTCTCCAGCCTGGGCAAGAGTGAAACTCCATCTCCTAAAAAAAACACAAACAGGCCAGGCATGGTGGCTCACGCCTGTAATCCCAGCACTTTGGGAGGCCGAGGCAGGTGGATCACGAGGTCAAGAGATCGAGACCATCCTAGTCAACATGGTGAAACCCCGTCTCTACTAAAAATACAAAAAAATCAGCTGGGCATGGTGGCGCATGCCTGTAATCCCAGCTACTCAGGAGACTGAGGCAGGAGAATTGCCTGAACCCAGGAGGCGGAGGTTGTGGTGAGCCGAGATCGCGTCATTGCACTCCAGCCTGGGCAACAAGAGCGAAACTCCGTC